TTTTTTTTTTTTTTTTTTTTTTGGTTTTTCGAGACAGGGTTTCTCTGCGGCCTTGGAGCCTGTCCTGGAACTAGCTCTTGTAGACCAGGCTGGTCTCGAACTCACAGAGATCCGCCTGCCTCTGCCTCCCGAGTGCTGGGATTAAAGGCATGCGCCACCACCGCCCGGCTCAAAAATTCTTCTTCTTCCTTTGTTCACCCTCAAAACGCTGTCTAAATTGTTGCTGCGATGAAGCATGGGGGCGCATCTAATGCTGACCTTGAATCTGTTGAGACTCAAGTTTCTCCCAGCAGTGTAATTTAGATGGGGCAGGTGTTCTCAGAGCATGGCACCCTGTTGGGCAGAACGGCATTACCTGGGTGAGGTGACTCACCTCCGCAAACCCAGCAGTCTGTTGGCTGGGGCAGGAGGATTGCAGTGAGTTTGAAGTCGGCCTGGGCTGCTGTGAGTTCCTAGCAATCCAAACTACATAGTGAAGCCTGTCTCAAGGAAACCCCAAACCACGGCTGGGTATAATTCAGTGGCAGGGTGCCTGCCTGGCAGACAAATGCCCTGGATTCCATCTCTAGTGGGGGATGGGCAAGGGAGAAGGGAGGAAATGACAGGGCCTCTGGAGACAGGCCTTGCAAGCCTGCTGATCTGAGTTTGATGTAAAGGTGGAAGGAGAGAACTGACTCTACAAAGTTATCCCTTCACGCACATGCATGCTAGCGCATGCACACGCACACATGCACGACCCTCCTGCCTCCCCCCTACACACTAACAATGAATGAATAAATAAATACCAGAGTTCCACTTTAGACTGCCCCCCCTCAGCCCCACCTCCAGGTGGAGGATGCGGCCGTCTGTGTTTAACAAGTTCTCCAGGTGGTGATGCTCAAGTTCAAGACCCGTGGCTGATAAACGAGGTGGATCCGAGTGCTCTTGACAACTATTTGTTGATGTATATTTGTGCTTTGCCTTCATGTGCCTGTGTGCATCGCATGCCCTGTGCTTCGTGCCTATGGAGATTAGAAGATGGTGTCGTATCCCCTGGAACAGGAGTTACAGATGGTTGTGAGCTACCATGTGGGTGCTGGGAACTAAACTCAGATCATCTGCAAGAGCAAATTCTCGCAACCACCAAGTCATCTCTCCAGCCCACAGTGAATGGCTTTAAAGCATTATATTTAGGGAAGTCGAAACAAAATGGTTGGAACATTATGCCTATACCAATTTTCCTGAGCTGCCACGTATTTGGAGGTATGGCTTCAAATTCACAAGTCAGGCTGCCCCCTCCACCCCCCAATCCCCTGCCGGGTTCCCCACCATCTTTTGATATCTTAACTTCCATTTCCCAATACAAAGCTAGAGATTATGCCAGTGGGTGGTTGGGAACAAAGTGTGTGTCGCAAGAAGCAGACAAATGTGAATGCATACCTCAGCTTGCTCAGTTATTGTCACAACCCCGCTTCTGAAATAGTGATGTAGCTATTGTTCTCTTGCTACAGTAACTACTGCGGGGATTGTTTCCTGGGCCTTCAGATCTTACATAGCACAAAGAAGTATTTCTTAGGGCCCTGTTCGTTGCTTTGTGAATAATAAGCACTCTTCCTCTCTTGATTGAATTTCTACAGCTGTCCCGTGTATTTTAAGTCTTACTGCTAGAACTTATGATTTTGGGATCACTTTAATCCGTAGGAGTGTATTCAGACCTAGGAAATGCTTTTGGATTTCATCTGGAGAATGAAATGACTTAGCTGATAGATTGAAAGCAACCATTTACAAAGTTTAGGATTTAAAAATGTATTAGACTTCAATGAACAGTTTAAACTGTTTTAATGTTATATCAGCCTTCAGCTAAACTAACATGGATACAAATCCATGTTCTTATCTTGAGTTTTCATTGTTACTCTTGTGTGCACATGTGACTTGTATTCTCAGTTTAAACTCAGTTTAAAGTCTCCCATGTTACATGTAACCACAACTGCCATTTAGATGGCTGCATAAAATGTGTACCCGGGGCTAGAGAGATGAGTCAACGATTAAGAGCAATGGCTGTTCTTACATAGAACCCCAATTCCCAGCATCCATATAACAGCTCACACCTGTCTAACTCCAGTTCCAGAAGATCTGACACCCTCATATAGACATACACACAGGCAAAACACAAATGCACATAAATACATCTTTTAAAAAAAATGTGTGGCAGCTGGGTGGTGGTGGCACACGTCTTTAATCCCAGCACTTGGGAGGCAGAGGCAGGTGTATCTCTGTGAGTTTGAGGCTAGCGTGGTCTACAGAGTGAATTATAGGACAGCCAGGACTTTCACAGAGAAACCCTGTCTCCAAAAATAAAATAATAAAATAAAATAAAAGTGTGGTGGTTGATATAATATGATTGATTCACTATTAGGCTGTATCAACCTTGAAAAAAAATTAAAAATACTTGTATTATTTATTTGTCAAGAATAAGTTCATATTAGTGTAGTTACAGCGTCAGAGTGTTGTTCACATTTATTTTCTTTTTTCCTCCAGGGACAGCAAAATACAGTATTGCATGTGCTTTTCACAGTGCCCACCTATCTTGTTCACAATCCTTGGCGGTGTTCTTATCATCTCCCTATGCTTGGCCTGCTGCTGGAAAGAGAAGAGTCCGGGCAGGTAGGTAACCAGATCTGGTCCACCAGGTGAGTCTGTGGAGGTGGCAATTACAATACTGAGAGCTAAGCACTCCCGGGAATTTGCTCGAATTAATTCTTCTAACTCGGGTCTAACTTTACTCTCGCCAGCCTCTCAAGGCGCGCAGTGGGCGTCTAACATGGGCAGTCTGCCCTGTAGGGACACAGGCTCTCTTTTAGTGAGCTGGTCAGCAGACCCCTCCTGGTGCCACAGAGCTGGCGCCGGGGCGGTGGAGTTCGGAGCTGGGTCTGGGCCGCGGCGCACGCGCTCCCTGCGGCCCTTCCTCCGCAGCCCCAGGCGCAGGAGACCTCGCCCACAACCCCGCCCCCGCCATCGCCCCGCCCACCGGCCCCGCCCCGCCGACGGCCCCGCCCCCGTCTCCTCCCCGCCCCCAGGAGCCGACGAGTGACGGCGGCGGCGGCGGCGGCGGCGGCCCCAGGACCCGGTTCCCTCAGACAAGAGGGCGGGTGGAGGAGGAAGCGGCCGAGCACCCGCCCGCCTCAGCAGACTTCGCGCCGTCGGCTCCCGGGCCTTGCGGCACCGAGAAGGAGAAGCCAAGGCGGGCCGCGAGGAGAGGAGGCGGCGGGAGCGCGGGGCGGAGGCGGCGCGGCCGGCCGCGGCTGCCGCTTTGTTGTGCGCGGCCCGGGCCGAGGAAGCAGAAGTGGGAGGAGGGGGGAGCTCTGCGTCCCGCTCCCTCCGCGGCTCATGGCGACGGCGCTCGGCACATCCGGGACCCTCCGGCCCTGGCGGCCGCGGCGCGGGCTGTTCGGGCCCCGGCCCCGGCCGCTGTGGTGACTCCTCCGCGTCTCGCCGTCGTCCCAGCCCAGCCCGCCCGCTCGCCGCCGCCACCACCGCCGCCGCCGCCTCCCCCGCCGCCGGGGACATGTCTAACCCCGGAGGCCGGAGGAACGGGCCCGTCAAGCTGCGCCTGACAGGTGAGCAGGGCGGGCGACTGCGGCGTCGCCCGTGGCCGGGCCGAGGGCCGGGGTCGCTCTCGGTGGTGCGTTGGAGGGGAATGCGGGCGTGGGAAGGCCTAGTTCGGGGAGGCATTGGAGAAGCACTTAAGCGGGCTCGGGAAATTCTTCAGAACGCCGAGTGGGGCCCGTGGGGCTCCCGTGGAGGGCGGGTTTGAGGTCCCGACGTCTTGTTTCCCCAGGTCACAGGCGCAGCGTCTGGGCTGCTGCCCAGGTGGGGTCGGGAAGGGGATTACCGAATCCGGTCGCTGGCTGCGGGCAGTAAACACTCCTTAAATATGGAGTGCTTACCGGGGGAGCGAGAGAATGTGTGTGTGTGTTCCCCGGTTGTTAACGTGAACCCCCACCTATGCCCGGGTGTGAAACCTTTACTCTCCAGCTGCCAGCCTCTGTGGCCAGCGCCACACACCTTCAACGCACGTCTCTGGGAGGGACCGAGACTGTGGTTGGCTTTTCCGGTGTGTCTGCCTGATCCCACGACTCCCGGCTCATTGTACCCTCTGTGTTTTGGAAGTTGTTTGATTGCAGGGTAGCGTGTTTGGGGTTGTTCCTTGTAGGCCGCAGGACTGGTGGCTCACGTCTGTAACTCCAGACCTGGTTTCGAAACGCTGGGCTTGGGATGCATCTCCAAGCCTGGGCTCATGCAAACTTCGACGCGAACTTTCTCCGGTTCTCGCCACGCTTCGCACCCTTTTCTAACCGGGGAAGAATGCTCCCAGGGATTTGCTAAAGAGGAGGCAAAGCTGTCGATGTTCCCGGGTGCGTCGAGTTGTTAACACGCTACAGGTGTAATTTGCTTACGCTGCCACTTCTGATCGTCTTCCGTGGCTACAGCACCCTCATTTTCAGGAAAAATTGTTTTTAGTTTGAAGAGTGTAATTGAAGCTACTGCCCCTATGCTAGTCTCGTCATTATCGGAAGTAAACTGTCCACATTTATTATATTCAGAGGGGTGATGAGAGAGCGCGCATTTCGCAGGGGCTTCGTATGCATTTGTGCCAGCGAAGAATAAACTCTAATTACATTTGCCCACACTAAACTTTTGAAATTTGTGTGGACGAATTTTGTAGTTGGGTGCTTGTGTGTTAAATGCCAGTCCATGGGCTGTGCTTTCTGGATAACTTGCAGTGGATTTGGTGTTTGAGAATTTAGCTTGAATGTCTGTTGGCTACAGCTTAAAAATACTTTACTTTTGGGGCTGGAGAGATGGCCCGGTGGTTAAGAGTGTATCCTGTTCTTGAAGAGGACCTGAGTTCTATTCCCAGCATCTCCACCCCAGTCCTTTGCTCACTACCACCTGTAACTCCCAAGGGATTTGATGCACCTGACCTCCCACAGGCATCTTCACTCACGTACACATACCACCCCTACCCCCATTAATTAAAAATATTCATATTGCTGACACTGAAAGTGTTCTTCCCCTTAGGGAAAATTAACTGTTTCTTAATGGAAAAGCTATATGTGGGGATGCTTTTCTTTCCATCTTTTTGTCTTTATCTGGGGGGAGTCAGTGGAACACAGTTATAAAGGATCTTTGTTGCTTTAGTTTATCTATTACTATCCTTATTAAGCAGGGCTGTGTCAATAATTATAGAAATAGTGAGTGTGCGTGTGCAAAACGGTCAGAAATAGGCTGTTATTGATTTCCTTCTAGGATATATACATGGGAGAGGAAAGAGGGATTTTGATTTTCTTTGGATAAAATGAGTTTTAGCTTTTCATTACGTGTGTGTCTGTCTGTCTGTCTGTCGGTCGGTCGGTGGGGGTATCATGACCGTGGAGCACATGTGGAGGTCATTCTCCTCCTACCTTGTGATTCCTGCCAATCAAATTTAGGTTGTCAGGCTTGAGAGAAACTGCCTTTGCCCCTTCAGCTGTCTCAGTGTTTTGAAGGCTACTGTGATTTAGGAGATCTTATATTTATCCATCATTTCTTTGCTGCATATGATATTTTCCAAAAATTCATGAGTGAAGTGTGTTAGGCTAATGTGATAACTACTACTCTACAGAAACCTCCCATGAGAGAGAAAAGATCACACTTAGTTTTTGAGCAAGAGGATACGTTAGACTAAATTTATAGAGTGATTTTGTATACTTAGCTTTTTCTGAAGAATTTTAAATACTCTGTCCTCTCCTCTTAATTGTAAAAACAGTTTGAACAGTTGAACTGCTCTCAATTTCTTAAAGCCATTGGGAATTTGCCTGTGAATAGTTTTCTCAAAGTCTGACAAATATTAAAAACATTGTTTTCCATTTGATTACATGTGGTAGAATCTCCTCTGTTTTGCGAGGAGCATTAATTTATATTTTTTCATTTTTGTTCATCACTTACAAATTAAATATTATAGATTTTAACAAATAGATCTCAAGAGCTGGATTCAATTAGCAGCTTTTTAGGACACAAACATAAAAGGGTTAGATGGAAAAGATTGTTTTGACTGACTGGATAAATGACAGGGCTGTGTTTGATGTACGTCCAGGAATTGGTCTGGAGCTGGTGCCCAACTTCTCAGTCCATCTTGAGAAGCCAAATAAAATATTTAACCTAGGCCTCTTTTTGTTTAAAAAAAAGTTGATTCTTTGTTAAGACCTTAAGAAATATTTGGCATACCTTTAGATTAAGTGTTTAACAGTTCATTTAGGTCTGGGTTCCCTAATAGAGGAAAAAACTCACTTTAAAAAAAAATCCCACAGTGAACTTTTATTTGGTTTATAATACACTTGGGTTGTAAGATGTTTTAAGATTACTGTTCTTTGCTCTAAGTTAAAGCCATTTAAAAATTTACATTTATGGAGTACCTTTGATTCCAAGGTACTTTATGAACTCTAGTTAATTATATCCTTAATGGAGAATTGCCCATTGCTGAAAGGGTGTTAACACTTCTTTCATAGCCAGTCTCTGCCTGTTTGTCTCTCAGACCCCGCTTTACGAAATTTCTGCCCACAGTGGATATTTTCCATAGACTGTTCCTAAAATCCATCCATTAGTTAACTGAGATATTGTTGCTGCTAAGAAGTGGGCCTAATTTAATCTCAAATTTGAGATTCCTTAGGCCGTTGATGAATATATGGAATGTTCTATCAAGTTACTTCTAGTTTTTATGACACATTGACAGTTGATCATTAAAATGGGCTGTCTCAGAACACTATCAGTTTCAGTTTGTATATGTAGAGTGGAGAATGGATTGATTATTTATTGTGTAGTTTGTAGTGTGACACATATCTAATACAGGCTTTCCTTATAACAATAAGAAACGGTTTGGCCAGCCCTGCAATGGTAATACACATTGGGAGGCAGAGGCAGAGGCAGACAAATCTCTGAGTGTGAGACCAGTCTGGTCTACAGAGTGAATTCAAGGACGGCCAGGGCTACACAGAGAAACTCTGTCTAGAAAAAGAAAGAAGAAGAAAAAAAAAAGAAATGGTTTGGTTTGAAAATGTTCTATATATTTTGTTATAGTTAAAAAATGTAAGTTCTTATACCCATATTGTTTTTGAAAATCAAAGGTTGGAAAAAGCAGTTTAGTGTAGTTTCTAATATTTTAAATTCTTAGGTATGGAGTAATAGATTACTTATCCAGAACCTTTATTTTAGACCTTTTTGTAAATACAGTGTTTTTGAATGCTGTTTCTTATTAATTTAAAAAATCCTTGACAGTAGAGATGTTAAGTTGGCCTATATGTAAGGAAAATTAATTTTAAAATCTCACTTTAAATATATTTGTATTTTAACGTTATTTCACTGTATGTATGCTTTATTTAATTTAAAACTTTAAGCTTCATTGTATCTTTTAGGTTTCTAAGCGTGAATGTGCGTTTGTATGTAATGACTTCTTGAGGGCTATTGCTATTTGAATGCAGCTAATTCAGTTTATTGGTTTCTGAGAAGGAAACCAAAATGTCATAGCTCCTTTTCTTAAATGCTCTCTTGTATGCTAATTTTCTTCAGACAGGTAGTAGTTTGGTTTTCTTGAGGAATGTGTGTTTAATCATGGTTTTTGCCTTTTTCATGTTGATTTATCTATTTTTATAATAATGTGTGCTGCCTAGTTTATGTCAACTCAACACAAGCTAGAGTTATCAGAGAGGAGGAAGCCTCAATTGAGAAAATGCTTCTGTACGATCTGGCTGTAGGCCAACCTGTAGGGCATTTTTCTTAATGATTAATGTTCGAGGGCCCAGCCTGTTGTGGGTGGTGCCACTCCTGGGCTGGTAGGTGGTCCTGGGTTCTACAGGAAAGCATGCTGAGGAAACCATGAGGAGCAAGCCAGTGAGCAGCTCCTCTCCATGGCCTTTGCAACAGCTCCTGCCCTTAGGTTTCTGTCTTGTTGGAGTTCCTGGCCTGCTTGAGTTCCTGTCCTGACTTCCTTCTATGGTGCACTATACTGGTGTGGAAATGTAAGCCAAATAAATCCTTCTCTTCTCAGCTTGCTTTTGGTCATGGTGTTTTATCATAGCCAGAGTAACCCTGATTAAGACAACATAACATTATTTAGCATGTAACTTAGCACATTTAGCATATAACTCAATTTTTTTCCTTTGTCTTTTGAGCTGTTATTTGTGTAATGGCTCTACCACACTTGGCTTATAGTTTTCTTTTTAGACAGATTATGTAGTTTACTGGTTTCAAGCTCATTGTGTATTTGAGGATGACCTTGAAATTCAGATCTTTTGCCTCCATTTCCCTACTCCTGGGATCACAGTGTGTGATGCCATTCCTGGAATAATTCAATTTTCAAGGTAAAGCAAAGGATCAAGCAATTTTTTTAATTAATTAATTTACTTTGTATGGATTGAACCTAGCGCCTTGTACATGCCAAGGAAGCACTCTACCATTGAGCTATGCCTGGCTTTAATATGTCTTATTCTTTTAAAATAGATCATATTTAACAGAACGTAAAGTCTGTTTATGATTCATTATAATTTTGAATGTCAGTAACTATATTGTAATGTGTAGGGTT